GCTGTCAAATGAATGGTTTGTTCTCCATTGTGGTAACATTTTTCTCAGATTAATTCCCATTCTTAAGCATTATAAGAAGGGATTACAATGAAGTATGACATAATTGCTTGACTCAGTATATAGAAAATCCTTGAGACATAGTAAAGATAATATCTTACTGTAAGAAATTAATTTCACGGCAGAATTATATTGTATTTCTTTCTCTCTGACCTGAGCTAATGGGAAAAGAGGAAATTCTTGAAGACTACAGTGAGAGCCAATTTCAAAATATTTAAAACTTGTTTTGGCTTACAAAAGGCCAATTTCAAATCAATCCAGCAAATATTTATTGATCATCATTTATTGATGCGTGAGATACCATGGTAGGCATTCAACCTCTTGAGAACATCTCTGTTACAAAGTGAAGTACATCAGTAAAGCATCTGAAGCCTGTACATTTTTCTTTCCTCTACTGTTAAAATAACTGCAGCAACAGAAAAGGAATAAAGTCATCACTCCTGCCTAACTGGAATCCAAGAGTGAAGGCTAACTCTTCGTGTCCTAAGGAAAGTGCCACAGGGAGAGTCTTCATGTTCTGAGCACTTTATGCTGCAACTGGAAACCATAACGAAAGAAAGGAGAATCCATTTAGCTCTCCAGAGTGTGCTCCACCAAGTTGTCTCTTATTTATTGCTTTTTAATGAAATTTTTCATGTGCATCGAAACACAGTCTTTCAGCAATGGAAATGCATCTCAGAGATCCCAGCACTCTGTAGCGTCCAGTCTACACACAAACATTAATTTTGCTAGATGGAATTACCTAATGGATTTCGTTGTGCCTGGGGATGAGTATTTTTTTTCAGTTGTTGAACAACCTATTATGAACTCTTCCTCAGGATATAAGCTTTCAGAAAGTTCAGCAAATATTGTAAAGTGTCCTATTTTGCCTAAGAATATGATACTTAGCTGTGGAGCACCTAAAGTCGCCCTCTGAAAGCACACACAGCTTTTTAACCTGCCATCAAAATTAAAAGTGTTTATTTTCTCAGAATTGTACCTAAGTACACGAAATATGTTCTCTTTATGTTAATAAATAAATAATAAAAATTTTTTCTTCAAAAAAATTAAAGAAGTGTTTTAAAGAGAGGGATTTGGGAGGGAAAGAAGATTGTCAATATATATATTCCTACCTGTGAAAAGTAATTTAACAATGAGTTTAATTATTCTATAGGTTTTCCTCACCCCCATTGCTCTAAAAAAAGCCAACCTCATTAAAATTGCTGTAATTGTACAGGATGTTTTGGGTTACAAGTTAGAGAAAACCTGACTCAAACTGGCCTATATAATAAAGAAATATATTATGTAAGTGGAATTCCAGCACTAGAATCAATTGTTTGGCTCCTCAAGGTCAGTGCAGACCCAGGCTTTCTGTCTCCTTAACAACCTCAATGAGCTTGGGGGATTCTGTTGACCCTAAGCTCCTTCCCCTCCATGATGACCATTAGCCAGTGGAAAACAAAATTACTTAATTTACACTAATAAGATGAATAAGAATTAATAAGAATACATTAATAAATTAATAATAATGGTTTACATTCAATAAGAAAGTGAATTGCCACTCTTCTACCCTATCCCCACTGCTGTAGAATGATAATCCCTCCTTTGAATCTGTGTGAATTTATAACACATGCCCATCCCCAAACTAGTGTTGCCAGTGGGTACCCAAGCTCTATGTCCCAGTCTGTTTTCTGTGGCTGTAACAGGATGCCTGAGACTGGGTCATTGATAAACACAGAGGTTTATTCAGCTCGCAGTTCTGGAGGCTGGGAAGTGCAATGCTGCAGTGCCAATATTTGCCTGACCCCGTGAAGTCCTTGTGATGCTCCAGGCATGGTGGAAAAGCAGAAGGGCAAGCGAGTGTGTGTGGAGGAGAGAAACGGGGCAGGATTTACTCAATAGCTAACACACTTCCATGAGAAAAGCAGTCACCTCTTCATGAGGGCTCCCACTCCATAACCTCATCATCTCCCACTATGTCCCACCTCTCAGGACAGCTGCATCGAAGGATGATGCCTCAGCGTGGGTTTTGATAGGGACAAACTGTATTTAAACAGTCACCTTTTTTAATTGGCTAATCAGGATTCAAGCAGGATTTAAGCTGAAGATGGGGTGAACATCTGAACAAAATCAGAATCCTGGTAGAGTTTAAGAAGGAAAGCAAATTTGAAGGAGCTGCCTTAACATTCACTACAGTCTTCTTTTTGTTTTGTTGAAATGCAGAGAGACTGAGAGGGAGACAGACACACAGAGAGAAATCTGCCGTTTGCTGGCTCATTCCCCAAATGCCTGCAACAGCCAGGACTAGGCTAAGCCGAAGCCAGGGACGGAGAACTCAATCTGGGTCTCCATATGGGTGGCAGGGACCCAACTATTTGACCACCTGCTGCTTTTCAGGGTACACATTAGCAGGAAACTAGAACTGGGAAAGGAGCAAGGACTTGAACCTGAGAATTTGGTCTCAAGCAGTATCTTAACTACTGTACCACACATATATCCCTGGTGTCTGTTCTTATATTTTTTAAAAGGCAGCATTAGGGGCCAGCGCTGTGGCGCAGCAGGTTAACAGCCTAGCCTGAAGCACCGGCATCCCATATGGGCACCGGCTTGAGACCCAGCTGCTCCTCTTCTGATCCAGCTCTCTGCTGTGGCCTGAGAAAGCAGTAGAAGATGGCCCAGGTCCTTGGGTCCCTGCACCCACGTGAGACACCTGGAGGCAGCTCCTGGCACCTGGCTTCAGATCGGCCCAGCTCCAGCCGTTGCGGCCAGTTGGGGAGTGAACCAGCAGATAGAAGACTCCTCGCTCTCTCTGCCTCTCCTCTCTCTGTGTAACTGTGACTTTCAAATAAATAAATAAATCATTTTTTTAAAAAAAGGCAGCCCTATAAATCCTCTACTATATTCAGATAAATTGTGTCTTTAGAAGTACTAGAAAATGGACTGTTTGTGGCTTTTAGCAACAGAGAAAACATCTCTACAGCACTTCTCTTTTCATTTTATATGATGCGTTCCATATCCTCAATCACTGTTGTAGAAAAACACAAGACCCACTAAGAAGTATGCTTCTCAGATATCAGTTACCTAAGAAGGAAGCAAATAATCACAAATTAAGAAACTGAACAATGATTTGATTATTGCAGCCCAATTCACAATAGCTAAGAATTGGAATCAACCCACATGTCAATCAACTAGTGGCTGAGTAAAGAAAATGTGGTATATATACACTATGGGAGTACTTCTCAGCCGTAAACAGAATGAAATCCTGTCTTTTGCAACAAAATGGATGCAACAGGAAACCATTATGCCTAATGAAATAAGCCAGTCCTAAAAAGAAAAATATCATATTTCCCTCATCTGTGACAACTGAGAGTACAAAAAATGTAGTGTATATGAGCAAAATTGACAGTTTGAGATTTGATCATTGTTTACAGCCCTTGTCTCCACTGATGACGACCAGTGTTTTATTGTCTTTTTTTTTCTTCTTACTATTTGTTGAATTCTTTACTTAATGGAGGGTTAAGCTTATGATTAAAAAATAAACCAAAAGTATGGCATTGTAAAAATTAAAAGAATAAGAAAGGAAGGAGGATGAAGGGTGGGAGCATGGAGAGGAGGAAGGGTAGGGTGGGAAGCATCACGATGCACATAAATCTGTACATGTGAAATTTGTTCACCTTATATAAATTTAAAATTATTTTTTAAAAATGCCTATGAAGAGGTCAAGAAAGAAAAACACCACCACAAACAACAGCCAAGTTTAAAGGTATCCGCAGTGTAATCTTCCATATTCTGTTGTTTCTGGTGTTCACAGTGAAATATACTTGCAGAAGCATCTGTCTCAGATCTTTCAGTTCTTTTTTCCTAAAGACATTAAGAGACGTTTCTTTTATTATTATTATTTCAAAGGCTGAGTTACAGAGAGAGGGGAGAGAGAGAGCACTTTCATCTGCTGGTTAACCCACCCCACACCACCCCACCCCCACCAAATGGCTGCAACAGCCAGGACTAGGCCAGGCCAAAGACAGGAGCCAGGAGTCAGGAGATTCTTCTGGGTCACTCACATGGGTACAGGGCCCAAAGACTTGAACCTTCCTCCATTGCTTTTCAAGGTACATGAGCAGGGAGCTGGATTAGAAGTAGAGCAGATGCAACTCTAACTAATGTCCTTATGGATGCTGGTGCTGCAGGTACTTGCTTAACTCACTATGCCACAGCATCAACCCAGACTGTTCAGTTCTATGGGGCCAGGAGAATATTTTCCTGTAGGGGTAACAATAGTAACTATTAAGTATTAAGAGGCTCAAAATTAGTCACTTCCCAGACAATATCTCAGTGGCACTGTGACTGTAAACCTATCATGGGCAGGAAATGCAGTCCCCCTGGCATTTGCCACCATACCTGGCACATGATGTAACCTTAATAAATGTGCTAAATGAAACCATTTTTATGCAATAGTACATTGTTTTTTTTGTTTGTTTTTTTTTTGTTTTTTTTTTTTTTTGCAATTTAATGATTAGGACTCATTGACTCTAAATACTTAAACATTTTGATCAAGGACATAAGCCAAGTAACGAAGTTCAGGTTAGAATCCAGTCTTATTCTCTTTCTCCTTCTCGATGAAAGGGAAATATATCCAAGAAGATAAAGCCAATGACTTGAAGATAAGAATGGAAAAAAGGAAATATCTGAAATTTGAGGGTTTTGAATACCAGTGCATTTCCTTATTTAGAAAACATGTTCCAGACACATCAGTTTATCCTAAGGAAATGCAAGGAAGAACAAAGACTACTACCTGGTTGCATACATACCCCTGGTTTGTTTGTTTGTTTTTTTTTTTTATAACTATATTTTTATATTGGAGGGGCATTGGGGAGAAGTGGGGGAAAGCAGCCCCTAACTCTGGGCCCTAGTCAGTGGCAGCTTCTTGTTCCATAGGGTTAAGGAAGACTTTGAGGAAATAAAAGTTGTTTGGACAACTCCAGGTGTAGTTGCTTTGCATGCTGTGATGGGCAGAGGGATGAAGTGTGGAGGCCCCTCACACCCTCCATGTGGCCTCAGACTATGTCCTGGAGCCCTGAGGGCGGAGAAAGCGCCACTTTCATTCTTGCTTCTTGGGGTTGTTGACGGCCACGTAGTGATAGAGAACGACGAGCAGGAAGAGCGACACGCCCAGCATGTTGGCGAAGATGGCGAGCTGCACGTCCGTGATCATCCTGCCCCGCCCGCCTCGGACCCTACACCGCCTCCACACAGCGCAGAGGTAGGAGACCTGGACCGGAACTCCGTCGTGCCAGCGCTGGCCAAGCACGCCACTTCCGGCCGCGCGGCGCTGTCGGAGCGGCCTCTCTTTTTTTTTTTTCTTCCACAGAGTACAATATATGAGGTATCTACATTCCTTGCTTTAGAACTCTGCCATTGTGATAACCCAATTGCCCCTGGTATCTATGGCCACTGTCCCTGGTGCTCCAAACTAAATGATTTGTTTCTATATGTCTCAAATGCAGACTCCCAACAATGGGATCTGAGTGGATCAGTTGTCAGTCACTGTCGAGCAGACAGAACCCAACTGGACAGAACTCTTTTATTCCTCCACCTCCTCATCTGCCTATCAGATTAGGTGTGGTCTCAGAGTGAGGAATTACAACACCAAGCAAAGGACACCTCAAGGGGAAACATGGATGGGTCACATATTCTAAGGTCACCCAGGGTGTCTGTTGCAAGTAGTGTCCTCTTAAGAGAACCACATTCTTTCTTTCCATTCAACTAATTAGAACCTCAGAGAACACAGCGAACTGACATGATGCAGACAGGAACCATAAAATTAACTATAGGATGAAGGGACTATATATACATATATGTGTGTATATATAATATATTATATACTAATATATTGTATATATGTAATATTAAACCGTCCTCACTGTGCATTAGCAATTATGCTAAGCATTTTATATGGATGCTCATTTAATTTTCACAATAACCCATGAGTTGAATACCAGTATTTATAGTATACACATAGAGGGACTTGAGACAAAGAGAGGTTAGAAAATTTTTCAGGTGTCACATAGCCACATGGCAACTTGACTCCAGAGTGTGTGCTTTTACTGCCCTGACATTGCTTTTAGTAGATGACTTGAGTTTTACAAGAAGAAAGAAATGTCCAGGGCCCAGACGCTTGAGGGAAAAGCAAAGCTAGTGTTGAAAGGAGAAGCTTGTGCCATGTGGCTATAGAGTGGGGACCACAGAAGGGGGCAGGTCCAAGAAGGTGGCACTGGAATTTCAGTTGCCTCTAATGGACAGAGTGGGGAGCTAGGGATATGAAGGAATTTCAAAGAGTTCATCAAAAAAAATTACAAAACAAGTTTGCTTTGATGTAAAATATTTTTGAAATCTATTCATAGTTTATTCATAATATGCATTCTCATGAAATTTTTGAAGATTCTTCTGTATGCTTGGATTTCAAATTTTTTGCACCAAAATAAACTTATCTTGTAATTCTGTTTTCCACGAACTATTAAAATTACATTTCTATGTGTTCTACATAAAACAGGAAGCCTCAAAATGTCAAGAAAAAATCCTTTTTCCATCTGGGAGAAGCTGAGGCAGTTTTTCATCTTACAAGGAACTGGGGATATGGCAGTCATATGAGAAGTGAGCTCCCCAGGACCCTGTGTTTTCAGAACATTAGCTATTAACTTATGCCTTGTGTCATGTAAGCACTACCAGTAAAGTGAAATCTGGCCCTGGACCACTCGGGACAAGCACCAAGCCACTCCATAGAAAGACCCGCACACATCAGGACTTTTACAGAATAAACCAGGATTTGTTGAATTTCTGATGACACAAAGTTTAAAGCTAAGCAAGAGATACTGACATAAAAGAGTAATTACAGTAAAGTGTAGAAATGTAATGGGAAAATATAGGGAAAAGAAGACTAACTTGACCAGGGTAGGGGACTAGCTCCCTGAGGGTGTACCTCTACACTGAGGTCTTTAGGGCATGTGTTTGCTATACTCCCTAATGGAGAACTGAAGAAGCTAACCTACAGGAATTTGTCTTCTTGCAATTCTGGCACTGAAAATTCTGAGATGGAGTGCAGGGGTCCAAACCAGCAGTTGAATCCCCTGTGCCCTAACACCTGACATTCTCACTGCATCTTTAAATTTAATCTACCATTATGATGTTTGTAACACACATATCTGGAAAAACAATGTAAGAAAGAGGTATGCCAAATCATGCAAGGCAAACAAGAGGAAACAGAAGTGGCAGTCATTTGGAGGGGAATGGAATTCAAAATAAACAGCATTAAATGAACCAAAGAAGGGTTTTTCTAAGGAAACTTTATAAGAATAGAACTTTCATTCTAAATAAATCATGTAGTTGTCATGATTTTATATAGTGCTACAATTGACAAATTCAGACTCATTGTAGGAATATTAAACCAAGTACCCCAAATCATCAAATTTAGTGACCAAAAAATAAAGACAATGGAGATTAAAATAGCATAATTTATGTTTAATAGATATAGGCAGAACTTTATCCAAAAAATACACAGTTCTTTCAAATATTCACAAAGTATAAACATTAAATGTACATTGGATCATAATATCAATAAAGACTACAAAGTAGAAATCATATCAGATACTTTCTCTGGCCTTAAAATAATAATAACAAAAATAAAGTCTCGCTGCTCCACTTTCAATCCAGCTCTCTGCTATGGCCTGGGAAAGCAGTAGAAGATGGCCCAAGTTCTTGGGCCCCTGCACTTGCGAGGGAAACCCAGAAGAAGCTCCTGGCTCCTGGCTTAGGATCAGCTCAGCCCTGGCTGTTGCAGCCAATTGAGGACTGAACCAGCAGATAAAAGACCTTTCTCTCTGTCTCTCCCTCTCTCTTATCTGTAACTCTACCTCTCAAAAAAAATAAATAAATAAAAATCTTTAAAACACACACACATACACATGCTTACAAGCATTTGCCCAGTAGTCTCTATAACCTCAACCTATATTCAATCCTCCAATCTCCTCATCTTAAACCCTTGCCACACAGCAGTCCAAAAAAAAAAAAAAAAAAAAAACCTGATAAGTTATAAAGTAAAACCCAAGCTCACTTTCTTTGATAACGTATACAGCTAGTTTTCCTCTCCCGAGTTCCAGTAGATACTTTAGTACCCGAAACCTCCCTACTCCTACTACCAAACTATTGTTCATTCACCACTCCAACAAGAGAGTCAGATTTAAAGAGATTAAGCTTTTAGTATAGTGAATCAAACGGGGCCTCTGGGGGCCATGTGATTTGATGGACAGACTGAAGAACTCTTGTTGGGTTTCAGCTGTTGATTATTCTGTATAATGTATTGGTTTACACGAAAGATGTGACATGCCATGGGCTTTCCCAAATAGCTTTCCCTATTCTCTGGTCTTTGATAAGTAACCAAATAGTAATAAACACCTTTTTAAAGTCACACCTGGGAATTTCTGAAGGCTGGGACGAAGTGATACAAATGACAATGCTGGGTTTGAGCAATCACTTTCAGGGTTAAATAATCCCAGGGGTGTTGCCACTCTATCCTGTACGCACAGAAGAGGAACCGATTGCCAGGTTGAATTATCCATGTTTTTTGAAAAAAGTTCCTCTGGTGGCTGTGAAACTGCTACAGATTGCTTTCTTTGCACTCTCGAGGAGCTGACAGGGCCCCAGATGGAGGTGTTTTTCAGCAAGCTGTCAAGCGATCCATCCATCAAAACAGCCACATCAGCGAGCTGAGTTTCCTTTCTCTGCCAAGAATGATATTGGGTCAGGTGGGAGAGGCCAGAGTATGATGAATCCAGGAAAAACAAAGGTCAGAGAAATGTGCACGAGAAATGAAAGAGATGTGGTTATATTCAAATTCTGAAGGTTGTATTTAAAGTTATTTTACAGAGACTGCATGATTTTTTTTCCTTTCTACTTTATTCTTAACAGAAACATGGAATTCATGATATTGACACTGAGAAGTTGTTTTGTGTGATTTTGAGGAAGTAAAGCTTCAAAGCTATATTAGAATTGCAGTGCCTAAAACATACTTAACTATCATCAGCCATCAATCGCCTCTTCATTCGTAGACCTAAAGAAGGTGTAACAGGATCATTTGAAATATTAAAGTTATAGTGATTTTATAGTGATTAGAAGTGAACTAACAAAATCCAGGAGTCACCCTGAGAGTCTTATCCTTTCTTATTGGCTTTACCTCATTTTGGAAACTGCTATTCACCTAAATAATAAAACCGTAGAAAAGCAGACAAATTCTATCCTCATTCCTGAAGCACCAGTGAGGCTGGAGAGATGCATTATGGGTAGAACAAGTAGAGCTTTTGTTTTCAGTTTTATATATGAATTTGCATGAATTGTGATTTTTTTTTTTGGTATGGCCAGATGTTTAACCTAGCAGTTAAGATACCTGCCTTCCCTATCAGAGGACCTGAGTTCGATCCCCAGCTCCAACCCCTGAATGAGTCTTCCTTCCAATGACGACCCTAGGAGGCAACTGTACTGGCTTAAGTAATTGGGTTCCTGACACTCCTGTGGGAGAACTTACTGCATTTCCAGCTTCCAGCTTCAGCTCCAGCCATTGCAGGCATTTGGGAAATGAACTAGCAGATGAGAACTCTTTCTCCTGCCCCCCCACTCCACCCTATCCCTCTCAAATAAGCGGGGAAAAAAAAGTTAATTTTTTGCACCAAAAGAAACTTTTCTTTCCATTCCGTTTTCCACAAGTATTTTGAAGTGCCTACTGTTAATAATACTCTACGTTATCTTTAGTCATTGTAAAATGCCAGAGAAAGTCTTGAAAAATATTCGTAGCGATTGTAGTTTATTTACTTGGTTTACCCTTATACTTCTGTGGAAGACAATTATTCTCGACAATCTCCTTTATACCAACCCATTAATGAATATCTAATCTGCATCCCTCTGTGCAGTTCTGGTTCTTATATGCTAGAGCTGTGCTCCCTGAACTGGCTTCATTCCTGACACACCTTAGAAATTGATGACACCTGTCTAGCACACCCAGGCGAGGAGACACTCCCACAGAGAGTCCCACAGCAGACAGAGCAACACCTCAGGTCATCTTAGGCAACTCAAGACCTTTAAAGGAAGAACATTGAAGAGCATTCAAATATAATGATTTTTAAAGATTTATTTATCTATTTGAAATACCGAGAGAGAGAGGGGGGGGGGGGGGGGGGAAGGGATCTTCCTTTCGCTGGTTCACTCCTCAAATGGCTGCAACAATGAGGCTGGTCCAGACTGAAGTCAAGAGCCAGGAACTACATCTCAGTCTCCCATATGGATGGCAAGAACTTAAGTGCTTGAGTCATCATGTATGCTTCCCAGGTGCACTAGCCAGGAGCTGATCAAAAGTGCAGTAGCTGAAATTTTTTTTTTTTTTTGACAGGCAGAGTGGGCAGCGAGAGAGAGAGACAGAGAGAAAGGTCTTCCTTTGCCGTTGGTTCACACTCCAATGGCCGCCACAGCTGGCGCTCTGCAGCCGGCGCACCGCGCTGATCCGATGGCAGGAGCCAGGTACTTTTCCTGGTCTCCCATGGGGTGCAGGGCCCAAGCACTTGGGCCATCCTCCACTGCACTCCCTGGCCACAGCAGAGAGCTGGACTGGAAGAGGGGCAACCGGGACAGAATCCGGCGCCCTGACCAGGACTAGAACCCGGTGTGCTGGCGCCGCAAGGTGGAGGATTAGCCTAGTGAGCCGCGGCGCCGGCACTTTTATTTATTTATTTATTTTTTTTTTTTGAGTAGCTGGAAATTAAACTGGCACTCCAATATTGAGTGTGAGAGTCCTAAGTGGTAGCTTAACCAGCCGTATCACAACAGCCACCCCCAAATATAATTTTAAGTACAGTAAAATGTTGATGGTTGCAAACATTGATTTTTAAACATCATCAATATCTCATGGATACCTGTAAGCCAGCAGCAGCTCTCTCATTTGGCCACAGCCTGCCACTTGGGAAGCTCTTCACCTAAGGGAGTGAGGTTCCCCATGGAAATGGGCCTCTCTTTACTGTTCTGCTCGTGGGGAGAATCCCACCAAGATTCTTTAGTGTACAGATTTCACATGTCCTCAAATTGCAAGTCTCAGTCTTGGGGCCGGTGCTGTAGGCGTGGGTAGGGCCGCCGCCTGCAGTGCCATCATCCCATATGGGTGCCGGTTCAAGTCCCAGCTGCTCCACTTCCGATCCAACTCTCTGCTATGGCCTGGGAAAGCAGTAGAAGATGGCCCAAGTCCTTGGGCCCCTGCACCCACATAGGGGACCTGGAGGAAATTCCTGGATCCTGGTTTCGGATTGGTGCAGCTCTGACCATTGCAGCAGACTGGGGAGTGAACCAGCAGATGGAAGACCTTTCTCTCTCTGCTTCTCCTTCTCTCTCTCTGTAACTCTGACTTTAAAATAAATAAATGAATCTTTGGTGCTCAGTTAGTTGTCACCGATCAGGGAGAACATATGATATTTGTCCCTTTGGGACTGGCTCAATTCACTCAGCATAATGTTTTCCAGATTCCTCCATTTTGCTGCAAATGACCGGATTCCATTGTTTTTGACTTCTGTATAGTATTCTATAGAGTACATGTCCCATAATTTCTTTATCCAGTCTACTGTTGATGGGCATTTGGGTTGGTTCCAGGTCTTAGCTATTGTGAATTGAGCTGCAGACAGTTTTTTTGTTTGCCAATTTAATTTCCTGTGGGTAAATTCCAAGGAGTGGGATGTCTGGGTTGTATGGTAGGGTTATATTCAGGTTTCTGAGGAATCTCCAGACTGACTTCCATAGTGGCTTTACCAGTTTTCATTCCCACCAAAAAGGGACAAATATCATATGTTCTCCCTGATCGGTGACAACTAACTGAGCACCAAAGGGGAAACCTGTTGAAGTGAAATGGACACTATGAGAAACAGTGACTTGATAAGCCTTTGTCCTGACTGTTGATGTACAATTTAATACTTTATCCCTTTTAGTACTTTTTTTGTTCTAGTACTATTGGTTGAACTCTGTAATTAACACACAATTATTCTTAGGTGTTTAAATTTAACTGAAAAGTGATCCCTGTTAAATATAAGAGTGGGAATAAGAGAGGGAGGAGATGTACAATTTGGGACATGCTCAATTGGACTTGCCCCAAATGGTGGAGTTAGAAACATGCCAGGGGATTCCAATACAATCCCATCAAGGTTGCATATACCAATGCCATCTCACTAGTCAAAGTGATCAATTTCAGTTCACAATTGATCACACTGATAGGTCTAAGAGTCAAAGGGATCACACAAACAAGACTAGTGTCTGCTAATACTAACTGATAGAATAAAAAAGGGAGAGAATGATCCAACATGGGAAGCATGATACACAGCAGACTCATAGAATGGCAGATGTCCTAAACAGCACTCTGGCCTCAGAATCAGCCTTTAAGGCATTCGGATATGGCTAAAGAGCCCATGAGAGTATTTTAGGCATGGAAAGCCAAGACATTTTGGAAAAAAAAAAAAAAAACTAAATGAAAGATCTCTGCGAGTGAGATCCCAGTGGAAAGAACAGGTCATCAAAGAAGGAGGTACCTTTCTCTGAAGGGAGGAGAGAACTTCCACTTTGACTATGACCCTGTCGGAATAAGATCGAAGTCGGCAAACTCAAAAGGCTTCCACAGCCTTGGCAACTCATAACTAGAGCCTAGGGAGATTACTGATGCCATAAACAAGAGTGTCAAATTGTTAAGTCAACAACAGGAGTCACTGTGTACTTACTCCTCATGAGGGATCTGTCCTTAATGTGTTGTCCAATGTGAAGTAATGCTGTAACTAGTACTGAAACATATTTTACACTTTGTGTTTCTGTGTGGGTGCAAACTGATGAAATCTTTACTTAATATATACTAAATCGATCTTCTGTATATAAAGATAATTGAAAATGAATCTTGATGTGAATGGAATGGGAGAGGGAGTGGGAGATGGAAGGGGTGCGAGTGGGAGGGAAGTTATGGAGGGGAAAAGCCATTGTAATCCATAAACTGTACTTTGGAAATTTATATTTACTAAATAAAAGTTAAAAAAATTAAATAAATAAATAAATCTTTAAAAAAAAGAAAGTCATAGTCTTTTTCAGCATTAACTTTGGGAAAAAAAAGTGTTGTTTTTTTTTTTTCTGAACTTCTGTCATCAGGAATTTTTTTCTTGGTATGTGCAGTGAGACTCCTACCCCTTTGTGGAGACTCCTACCTCTTATTGCCTCTGTTCTTGTGTTCTTTCTGCATTTATTTCATTAAATGTGAGTTTGTAATCAAGGGGAGGCAGAAATACCCAACACTTTTGAAGAAAGGAAAAAAGACCAATACAATCTAAGAATAACAAGAACTGCATACAACACTTACTGGTCAGAGAAAATGTTTGCTGTTTTTCTTAAACACAGAGGCAGTTTTTAAAGAGGTGAGAAAGAGATGCATAGTATATTTATTCCCACAAGATAAATATCACCTTTTTTCCTCTTTCTTCTAGTGACAAGGTGATAAGACTTTTTCCGAAGACAGACGGGGAAGCACATGCCCTGAAGAAAATGTTCCGCCAACTTCAGGTAATGGACGGGCCACTCAACTTCTCGTGGAACTGTTATACTTGCGATGTGTTTACAGGGCTTTGCTGGCAGGATTGAGTAATTGGAATTCATTAGCCAGTAGAAGTAAAGGCTAAGAGATAGCTTAAAAGAGCATTTAAAGGATAGCTTAAAAAATTATCTGACACATAATCTATTTACTAGTTCATTTATTATCTGCCTTCTAGCTAGAACGGAAGCTTCATGGGAGAGTTGGGTTACTTCTGCTCATTGCTGTATTCCCAATAAGTGTCTGGAGTATCCCAGAAGCTCTGTGGGTGCTTTATTTATTTAATGAATGCATTTAGCACAGGGTTTTCCAGAGTTTCACTTTTCCTTTTGAAATCTCCCGGTGGATCCCCAAGACGCATTCCTTCTAAACAAAACTTAAAGCAGAATTGAGTTGAAGAAAATAAAAGTGAGGAAGTGTTAGGTTGATGGAGACTTGAGCTTAGTTCTGGCTTCTGGGAGGTAGGCCTGGTGGAAAGGCTTCAGGTCACCGAGGCAATCGGTGGTGGGGGTGGGGAGCACTCAGAAGGTAATTCTCTGGAGAGTGTTGGTTTTATAAGCATAGGATGCTTCCTGTCTCAACTTCCTGGTTCATAAGTGATTAGCCCCCTGCCAACCTCAGGCCTCACTAGATGCCTGCACCAGTAGAACCCCTAGTCTTGGACTGTGGACCTCAGAAATGCAAACTGCAATCAACCTTATTCATTCCAAAAAATAAAAAAATTAGGAAGTGAAGTTAATTAATTCTGCTGTGTTTCAATGAGTCTGATAAGAGCATTTCATTGGTAAAGGTCTGAGTGGTTATTCAATCTTTGATGGATTGGATGGATTTAGAGTTTCTCATCTCCCTGTCACTGCATGTAATTGAGTGTTCACTTTTATGAAAAGTCATGTTGAGAAGTGTGGCAGTTGGCTTTGGTCCTTGCCTAACAAAAGAGCAGAAAGTCCATAGAAGATGTGGTGGATAAGGCTTCTTTCTAAGGGACAACAAAGCTTGCTGGCATTTCCTAAACCCCATCTCCTGGAAGGAACCTCTGCTTTCCTGACTTTGAGGTTAACTCTTCTCTGGTCATGTCTTATCCTCAGCCCCATGGTGTCTGCCTCGGTAGTCAGATCTGTACACTCTCCAGTGGTCCACCAGGGACAAAAAGGGGCAAAGAAACAAAGCAAATGCTGAGTAGAAATTTCCATTTCCACTGGCATTATTTAAGTGTGCCACTGGAAAAATCAGGCACTTTTTAGTATGGAAGTCATTGATTTAGGGAACAGATATTCTGAACCAAATATTGGGACAGAGGAGTCTTCTCTGATTTGTGCTAGGCCTCACGAAGTTGTGAAAACAAAATTGCGCAGTTATACAGGTGAGGATCACTCACCATTATCAAAGGCAGTAAAATTTCATATATGAGGACTGAGAGAGTTATTTATAAACTCTCAGAGAGCATTAGCTATGGACCCCAAAGGCGGAGCACAGAGCTGCTGGCTCTGAGCACAGAAATCTTTTGGATCCTTTTTTGTAAGCATTTGAAGGAAAACATTCCTGCATATTTGTTTTTATTTAGTGGTTAAGGAAAGGTAATAAACCAGGGAGGAAATGGTTTAGATGTGAAGGAGCTTAGAGGACAGCTGACAGGAGCGGGACCAGGGGAATGGTGGAAGAGGGGAGCAGAGAGGACAGAAGAAAGGGGGTGAATATGAGACTGCTGAGGTCACTGCAGCCGTTCTGCTCCCCTGAGAATGACAATGAGCCCGTCTCCATCGCTACGCTCCAGCCACAGCACCACCCACTTTCCCTAAGTTGCTTCATTTGACCAATCTTCTGAATGCATACCATCATTATTGCTGTTTTACGGGTGAAACTCAGAGAGCGGGACAGAGCTTAGGTAATTTGCCCAAGTCACAGTGTGCAACATGCACCCAGGGCCGGTGGGAGGCCTGCCTCTTGCCTCTGGCCTGTTTACCCTGATCATCTTTCGGTGGAGATTAAGCCTGAGTTGGCAGGGCAGTAGAGCCTTGACCCAGAATATGAATATTCTCATGCTCTCATTTACTTCATTCCTAGAGTCAGGGCTTGCCAAGACCACCCCCAGCTCGCGTGATTTGCACGAGGCCTCAAACAACCCAGCATGCAGTCCCTTGTGCAGCTCTGATTTATTCCAGCAAAGGGACACAGAGCAAAATCACCAAGGGGAAAAAGCACATGCAGGGAAGTCCAGGGGAACACGGGCACAAGCCTCTAGGAGATCCCTTCCAGTGCAGTCACACAGGACATGTTTAATTCTCCTGCAAGGAGTGTGATAGCACGTGTGCAATGCTGTCTAATGCAGAGGCCAAGGTTTTATCACAAGCCATTCCCTAGCACATGCCAACATCCCAGACTTCCAGGAGAAAAGTAGGTGTTTGGCATGAACCATATCGGTTGCACAAACCATTTAGGTGCAGTGCGCCACTCTTTCCGGCTAAGAGGAACCCTCCTCAAAGTCGAGTTCCCAGATGCCTTCCAACACCAATTTTGCAAGCAGGCCTTTCCAGAGATAGCATTTACCAGGCCCCAGCTGTTCAATCTTTTCTGCACGTTTCTTCATTCTTTGCACTAAAGAAGTAGTTTCTATTGGACTGAAGAGAGATGCATTAAGCTTAGCTGAGTTGCAATCTGAAAGCATCCCATTACCTTGATGTCATTTGAAATTCGAATGACTTCACCAAGTGATCCATTTGCACCATGGAAAGCAGAAAGTATGGCCAGGCAGAGAAGGCAGCCTGCAGAGAAGAAACAATGTGACTGCCTGTCATCTTCTGCCCTGTGGAGCTGATGGGACAGAATCAGGGCCAGTGCCAAGAGCATCTTAGAACAGCCTTTGCAGTACATCCAGAGGGGGCAAAGGAGGAGGGTTTGCCAGAAGTCTATTTAGTTGCCTTCTTCCCCCAAAACACAGCATGATAGAAGAGAGACAGCCTCAAGATTTTTACCCACTGGTGTCCACACCCTACATAATGGCTCCCCGAGTGCAGGTGCAGGCTGGGAACAAGCTGCAAATATCATTCCCTTGATAATGTCACATTATGCGTCTGGAAGGAGATTACCTGGGGTGGGTTGAACCTAAAAATGGGGAGTCTGTTAGGCACAAAACATTTTCTCCAGCTGTTTCTCAACAAAGACACCGGAGAAGTGCTCCTTGTGGTCACAAAGAAAGCAGTTTACACGTTGTTGTGTTGGGAACGGTCCATGGGGACCCTGTGGCAAGGAATGCCAGTGACCTCTAGAAAGTGACTGTTTCCCAGCTGATTGGCAGAAGGAAATGGAGACATCAGTCCTACAACCACAAGGAACTGGACTCTGCCACAACCACGTATGCTTGGAAGAGGACTGGAAGGTCCAGTTGAGAATGCAGGCCAGCAGATACCTTGACTTTAGCCCATGAGACCCTAAAGAGAGAACCCAGTCACTTTCATTCCTGCACTTCTCACCTACAGAAATGCAAGATGACAAATGGGTGTTTTTTAAGCTGCTAAATTTGTGCTAATCTGAAGATAACAACCTATTTCTTGGCCTTTGGCTCTCCATTTCATATATGAATGCTTCAAGTTAATTCTCCTGATTTCACTGGCTGTAACTCAGCATTTTAGAAAAAGTAAAAAGTGATTGGACTACATGCTTAGGCTATAAATTCACAATGTCTTATCTGAAACATGAACAAATGCAGAATGCCTGTGCAACGTTGAACGGAATCCGAGACGTACCCTCAAAGCATAGCTAATTAGACATACAACTGCTGCTACAAAGCTGGTTACTTTCCTAATTAAATTTTATGGTTTTGCTGAAGAATTAAAACAAGAAATTTAAACAGAAAACCATACCCCCAGAGAACTGGATCGAGAAAGCACCAACCAATTAAATTGTTAATTAAGAGCATAACCATGATTTAAATAAAGTTATGATGAAAAGGGAACAGTTTGCAGGTGAGTAAAATTAGAAGCTGAACACTATGTTCTGCCTGCAATTCTTCATAAATTCTTTGTCCTCTGATGGAATACCAGTGGCTTTGTAAGAACACAAAATTTCTTTTATAGAATTGACACACGCTGGTGGGAAGAAAAATTGAATGACTTTTCTGTTTCCAGCTCTCTCATCAGAGAGCTATAGGACAGGAAACTATCCTATTTGTTGAAGAGTTTGTCATTTTTTTTTTCAAGCTAGAGTACAGCCTTCAAAATGTTAGTTGGTTTGTCAGGTGTCTTTGAGTGAAATGCCAGGAGTCCTAAAATCCCATGGAAGAAAGCTGCATTTCCTATGTGGAAGGCTTTAGCCTTCCTCCTTGCCTTGCTGCGGCCATCCCTGTGGGGTGTTGTGCTATAGTTGCTTTCTGTCTTCTCGAACCCTCCTGGGTGCACCCCAACAGGAGTTTCAGAACACCTGTGACCCCCTGCAGTTTGGAAACTCAGATGTATACCTGGATCGTTTAAGCAATTGGGAAACTTGGGAGGAAGAATATGGGAGGTACAATCCATGCTGTGGGAGTTATTTGTTCTCAATATCATAAACTGTGTAAGTAGGGACAGGTGTTTGGCTCAGGGGTTAAGATGCCAATGACAATGCCCACATTCCATGTTAGTGCGTCTGGTTTGTAGTCCCAGCTTTGCTCTCCATTCAAGTTTCCTGCAAATATGCACCCTGGGACACAGCAGTGATAGCTCAAGTATTTGGGCCCCTGTCACCCACATGGGAAATGGAGACCTAAATTGAGTTGTGGGCTCTTGGCTTTGGGTTGGGCCAGCCCCAGCTGTTGTGGGCATTTGGGGAATAAACCAGCAGATGGAAGATCTCTCTCTCTCTCTCTCTTTCTCTCTCTCTCTCTCTCTCAGTGTGTGTGTGTGTTTGTGTGTGTGCCTTTCAAATAAAAATGAAAGTTTCAGACATCAAAAAGAAGCAATGGAATTACAGAACCTCTTATTATGACCCCAAGGGGACAGTC